AAGCCTTCCAAACGGAGCTCGTTCACTTTACATGGATAGCTTTAAGCTCTGACTCAATTGATGTACTGAAAAAGTGAACATCAGTCTAACAGCTTACCCTGAAAAGTAAGTCTAAGGTTTAGCTCCCGTGATCAGGCCCGTAAAATTCCTAGCGCTAGGCCTCCCTGATTGCGATCTTTGACAGTGATAAGTATCGGGGTAGCAAACTATTCTGGAAGCCAAACATCGAAGAAGACATGGTTTAGTTTACATATATTGTTGTAGTTAGGGAATCAAGCGCTCAAGATCTCTTGTCGATGGTTGTTTATTGGTTGAAGAAAGCGCAAAGGCTTTCCTAATTTCCTTTAGTTGGCAGTTTGCTGTGCCACTATTCTTAAGTTAAAAACAGAGTGGCAGCGAAGCTGAAGATGAAGACGAAGCTAAAGGCACATTTCTTGCAATTGACAGCACAGATAACATCCTCAACTTTGTCTTCGCTCGCAATATGATAACCTTCCCGCAAATACGTTTCTATACTACTGCTTTGTTTTTCGTCTTCAGCTTCTGCTTTGCTTCCAAATGTGGTTCAAAGCCTTGTTGGTTTTGCTTGAAAATTCAGCCCTAGCTTAAGGTATAAACACACTCTATCTCACTTCTTCTTCACTGTGTTTTTCTACAGCTAAAAACATAACCACCATTGTTTGGTCCTGCTCTTGTATCCCCCTATCTTATTTGGCTTCTTTCCTAATCTTCATATGGTATCTCACAGGAGAGTTTTCAATTCCCTAGTTTATTATTAGAAATTAAAAATGGAAACATTTTTGTAACTCGTAAGATGATGAGTCGTTTCTATTGTAGCCCACTCTAACCAAACTAAAGTAGTTAAGTTGTCACCTAAACTCGTGTCGACTTTCTGGCAGCAGAGGCGGAGCTGTCACTGCACTTCAATTTAGTTTTATTTTGTATAATTTACATCAGTTTTGTATTTATGATTCGTATCGAGTTGAAACACATTTAAGTTTACATTCTACCATTATAACATCCGTCTTAAAATTTGTAGTTAAATTGTGAAATAACATTCAAATAAAGCAGTCAGCCTTATTCTGTCTAGGTGACACTAGTCTAGACATCTACCTCGCCAGAAGTAAATAACTAATAACCGCGTTATTATGACTGCGCCTAAAAATATGCACTACACGTCAACGAAACTGCACAACACATCATTTATTTAAATCAGTGATGCGTAGAGAGAGCTTTTACTCAATACGCGCCTATACAAAATGTATGGAAAGTTTAAAAGAGCTTTGCCCGCGGGAAAGGCGGTATCCATCAGTGCTTTATTTAAACAATTTTTTCAGAGTGTTTTTCAGAGTATTCTGAGTTGTAGAGAAATTTTAGAGCAGCGTTGGGCAGAGAGAGCCTTTACTCCGCTCGCCTCTATACACAATGTATAGAGACCTTAAAAGAGCTTTGCCCGCGGGCAAGGCAGTGCCCATAAGTGTTTTAAAGCATTCGTAAAGATCTCATCCGATTTTTTGCCGACTTGTCTAAACTAAATAAAAAAAACTGTGCATACTTCGATTCTTTTACGAAGTTTCGGAATAAAACAGGTAACGCAATGAAAATAATGCTATTATGCGAAGATATTCTTCCTGAATTTTTTCAAAATTTTCTTTATTTTTCGTACAGAAATTTCTTAACCAGTTCATGTCAACCACTTAATATAATTTCCTTTGAAGATTCATAAAAAAATTGTTACAGAATTTAGATGCTCTAAAGATTTCGGTGAGATTTCGAGAAATTTGGTTTGCGGGGTGGTAACTTTTTAATATCAGCGACCGGAAGAAATCAAAGCTTTTGATATTTCCATTTTCTCAGACAGCTACAAAATCTTGAAATATTTAAAGTTTGTGCAAGCACTTCAAACTGGCAACTGACTTTCGAAAGTTCCTGAGCGGGGTCACTGGTCCACTTGTCATGATATGGCTATCGGAACCTAGTAGCATGCCGGGTCACGGAGACGACCACGAAAGAGACTTCAGATTTTTTTGGAAAAAAAAATATATTTAAGAACATATATTTTAAACAATATATTTAAGAACTTAATTTACTTATTAAAAAAACTGGATTTTTTAGGCAATTTAAAAGTAGTTGAGCTCACGTAAATTTTAACACTTTTCCGAAAAATTTTGGCGAAGTCTGAGGATGCAAAATTGTATAGTACCGATGGAAAAACAGTGTCGACTTTTTTGATAGGAAGAGTGACGCAGCCTAATGTATAATGGTCCTGTATTCCCAAGAATGATATAATACAAGATTGCGCATTCCCGGCGGCGATGTCATTTCTGGTGTAAAAGTAAACAAAGCCGAAGGGAAGGATAAAAAAAAAAATCGGAATAGTAAATTATCTTAATATTCAATTTTTCGATAGGAAACGTATTTTCATAGCTTTAAATTGTGAAAATATGATTTGTAATCGTGATTCAATAATACAAGGTTAGATAATTATTGACAGCCGCGGTTTCGCACTCCCTTACACAAGGTTGTATTTACGAAGGATGGGGAAAGGGGAGGAATGAAATCCATTGCTGCTAAAATGGTAGTAGAAAAGTACCCAAAGTAGGCAAATAGTAGTGACATTCCGTTTGTAAATTTGTAATGTATTTACAGGAAATATGGCATTTTAAACGAAATGTTAACATATCTACGTGAATTACGCAATTTTTGTGTTGTTTAGCCGTATAAAAACTACAAAAAGTCTCAAAATTAAAACAAAACTACTATGGGTTTTATGTAAACATCCAATTTAAAAACAGTTTATGTTTTCATCAGTTAAATGTGCTTCATATGCATATACAAATAAAGATATTGCACAAAAGCTTATACTTCTATTTCCCAGCAAAGCAACACTTTTTCCAAGTAAATTTGCATAGAAGCAACACTTTGCCACTGCTAAGGGAGCGGTGCGAGAGAGACAACTGTCAGTTTATCGAACCTTGTATTATTGAATCATAATTTGTAATAACAATTAACAAAGAAAATATGAAAAAAACTGTGATTTTAGTAATACTTTCCACTTAGACTTTGCTATATTTACGGTGACCATCATGAATGATCATACCATATAAAAAATTGTTGTATTTATTAGCCCTGAAACAGAATCTTTATTTGTCGAATATTTTTCGATCTTTTGTGAAATCAGCACATAAATATTTCCAGTTGTAACATCAAACATTTGTAGAATATTTTCTCATAACTTTGTACTTTGTGCGCAGGATTTTTTAGCGAGCATAAATTGTTACAAACATTCCAAAGCAGGAAAATATGATACAAATATCCGACTGCTTTTAAAACATTAGTGGTATCCAACGGGATTATTTTCAGACTCGGATTTCTGACAAGCACAATGCAGTAAGTAGCATCCGGAACGCGCTGAAGTGCAAAGCGAACCTTGGAAGGACTGGGAAGTGTAATCCCATCTTAGAGAACTTCTTTACTTCTGCAAAAAAAAAAATTTAAAATTGCCTCCACACCTCCATCCACACATAGCTCATCGATTCGAATCACGAATAATCAAAATCAAAAAAGAATCAAAAAAAAAGAAATACTGGTTCGTAGGCACATCATTTTATGAACATTTAAGGCGCCAAAATATCGAATTCGGGACAAAAACGGGGCATTAAAAGAAATACAGAACATTTAGCGTCCCGTATGAAATGAATAAATTACCAGGACAGCTGACGAAAAAAGAGGAATATTAATTAAAAGTTTTATCACACCTTTCTATTCTCCACCCAACTACTTCTGTATTGAGAACTTCAGAATTCTTGCTCTCACAAGTTGTTACATGTATCGATAAAACCGTGTTTTTTCATTAAAAATTGTGGCGCACTTATCTTAGACAATGCAGTATTGCATAAAGAATAAAATTAAATCGCGAAATTGAATTAAAATTAAAACTTAAATCTTATTGAGGTGCACTACTTACCACAGCCGATATGTCGCAGTATGCGAGTCACTGCATTTTTCCAATTCTGAACATAGAAATAAAACCACGTTTGCATTGAATTACAAAAACTGATTTAATTAATTTGTATTATTTTATTTTTTACCATATACTTACGTATTTATATATGTATGTATGTGTGTTATATAAACTCTTGAAATATAAGTACCAGGTTGACCGAGCTTTGCCCGGAGGGCATATACATTTTAAAGTTTACAAGATTTGGATATCATTGAAAAAATATTTTGGAAATAAAAAAAAAACATTGGATTTCGATATCTATTAAGCAAATTTCTTACTCCAAAATTTAGGTGGCAACCCTATTCCGCAATACGCTGGAAAGAATGGTACATATCTCGAGCGTATATGCACTGTGTATGTGTATGTATAATACTGATTGAAATTAACAAAATAAAAATTGTTATTACATAGAAGCGTGGCAACCCTGATCGAAAATATTTTCTGACCAAGCTTCTCAACAATACCTTTCATTTGATAACCATATTTCGTTGTTTTAGATAAATTCTGCAGAATCGAAAATAAGTGGCAACCTTACACTATTATCCTAACATTTATATACAGGGAAAGCATTATTTAAGAATATTCTCTTGGTACCCATGAATAGTAATATTTACCTGTTTTTCTAAATTAAAAATTAAATAAATATGTGAATCAAAATAGGTGGCAACCTAATTAAAAATATTCTTGAATTAGGGATCTTTAAAATACCTTCCTTTTGATACCCATATTATGATGTTTTAATTAATTTGTAACTAATTTCGAATGGGTGGCAACCTTATAAGAGTATTCTCGGAGATAGTACCTATTCAGATAACCATAAAATCCAAAACATTATCTGTGTACAAAATCTCATCAAAATCGTTAGAGCCGTTTCCGAGAACCCTATGGATATATATATACATATATATACAAGAATTGCTCGTTTAATGTAATAAGATATTAAAAAATAATAATAATTTTATGTGTATTTCTCACTGCCCTTTTTCATTCACAGCGCCGTGCATCACGACGCGCCTCACTGCGCCGCGGCTCCATATCAGTGTTGCCACAGAAGTCTGCCGAAATTCCATGGGATATTTTGGAGCGTCTATTCATGCCATTCCTGTTCTGTCATGCTGCCGCATTGATAATCTCAACACTACTGCATGCATTGGATATTTCACATATCTCCACATTTGCGGTGTTTGTTTGGTTTGCGCTGTCCACAATTGGAGCGGTGCTATTCTATCATTTCGTTAAGGTAAGTGGAGAAAAAAAACAAAGAAAATTTTAAATTAAAATAAACAAGAAGAAACAAAAGTGAGAGAGGAAAAAATATTAAAAAGGAAAGATTGTGAGAATATACTATATACTTTTTAGATAAAGTAGTAAGACAAATTTTAAATATTATTTAAAAATAACTGGAATTATTTTATAATGGGCAGTATCACGATGCGCGAAATTTACTTCCTTCCATAAAATCAATTCTTTGTTTTTTATTTAAACTTCAGTGAATAGCTTCATGTTTTTTTTTTTTATTTTGAGGCTGAGCTAAAACTTAAAGGCAAATATCTAAAATACTAAACCGCATGAAAATATATTTCTCTTCGCATAAAAGATGCTACAAAGGTTTATTACGAACTTACATACTCACAAAATAAATTTAAACTCACAGAAAGATATTTACATTAGAGCAGGTAAAATTTTTTGACCATGCGCCATAGTGAAGCAGGATTCTACGTGTAATTCTAAGCAAATTTTCCGAAGAAACCCTAGGTCTAAAATCAAGTTGGAGTTTGTCAGATTGCGAAAATGGGTTCAAGAGAATGTGAAAATTTTCACTATTGCGCCCTCTCGTGGAAGTTTTAAGAAAAAGATAAGTGCAGAAATGGGTTGCTCATACCAAAAAAAACCCGTACAGCATGTTTTTATACAAAATTAAAGCACTTTTCTACGACAGTACAGCAAAATTCTAAGAAACCTATTTTCGCAGTTTATCAAACTTCGAAGTGATTTTAGGCCCATGGTTTCTTCGGCAAATTTGCTTAGAATTAGAGGTAGCATCCTTCTGTGCTATACGCGCATAGTCGCGCCCATAAAAACTGACCTGCCCTAATGTACATACATATCGCACGTTTAATAATATAACGAAGTATTTCAAAATTTAAATTTTGTGGGAAAACGCAATCAAAGTATAGTTGGTATACAAAAAGACATATGGAAAGACACATATCTTCGCCATATCTGGGAACTATGGTTATATGTGAAACTGAAAATATTCTAGTTATCAAACTTATTATATGCATAATGAAATCTCCAAAATGTAAATTTTATAGTTACATCTCTATATTATTATACGTGCGATATGTACATAGGTATTTATAGGCACACATAAATGTACATATGTAAGTACAAAAGGAGTTGTTACATACGTATATAAACAAATATTATAAAAATCAAGGTGATATTTTATGGTAGCGAAAATGGAAATATTCTAATGAAAATTCATCGCGTAAAAATATTATGCAAAAACAAAAATTTTCTAAAAACCCGTAGCGTATTAATTAAATGTGAAGTCCGCCAAAAAAACTAAGAAGAAGAATAATAAAAAAATATATAATTTAGTAACAAAATTGTCAATGTACATAGCTGCTATCGAAAGTCCGTTGTAGATATATCGTTGCATATCAATAAAAAATTTCATAGCTATAAATTCTCTTAAGCTGGCCGCCAAAAATAGCTAAGCCAATAAAGTGGCCAACCAGTAAAGTTAATTCTGGCACACTGTTTCGCAGTGCTAAAATATGCCACACAATAGGTATATGTATATAAAAAATATATAAAATTAAATAAATATTAATACAGATAAAAAACGGTGAACAGATTAAGATTAAAAATATGCGTTTTTGCCAACATTTTTAAATACGTACTATATGAAAATGCAAATTGAATCGAAAAAACTTTAAACACAAAACAACTGGCAGGAAAAAGAAAAATGAAAAAATATAACAAAATCTAAAAAATCTAATAGAAAACCAAGAACAAAACTGAAAGCATTTGCTTTTACTGCTTGTAGCTGTGAATTAAGCAACTTAAAATTCTTTCTTATTTACATTAGACTATCCCAATAATATGTGAAAAAAAATTTGTTTGCAAATTTTAATATGCATACCCTCCATATTTCTGCCTTTTAGACTAAATAGCGTATATATGCTAACTTAAGTCCAACAAATCTTGCCGTACAAATATTATTTCTGGATAGGTATTCTATTGGAATCCGCAATAAAATTTAAATTTTTGCATAACCCCGATTTGTAACACCTTGCTAATTACATACATACATATATCTCTTCATAAGTTTTCGAAAGCAAATTACAAAAATTGTTTGACTCTCACAAAATAAACAATCTTGTCATAAAAAAAAACTTTCAAAAATATTTCTTGAAAAACGCCTATTTTTTAATCATGGTTTTCACAGTGAATTAAACCGGACTACGATGGCATTATTTAAATCCCTAGTACCAGTAAATTGGTATTCACTATGCAAATTAACTTCAAAAAGTTTAACTATTAATAGCTCAATTAGCTTTAGGGCAGTCCTGCCTATGTTATATGTATATTAAGACCGTTTCTTTAGTTTTATAACGACGTTAAAATCAAGTCTCCCGAGATATAACGATTTGAGGAAGTACATGAATGATCGGAATCACGAAAAAAATCGAACTTTGACAGACCACATCTCCGAAAAAAAGAAAAAAATCCACGAATACGTGTTAGCTTATTTTATACATGACATCATTTTTTTTACGAAATCCGTCCGACTTAAAAAAAGAATGGCTTATATACATAAAGCACACCGTCTTCAAAAGCAGCACAACTCAAAATTACACGTTTATCGGAAGATGTGAAAAACTACATATGTACATATTTCTTAGCACATGAAAATTATATGGGCAAGGGAGACTTCAAATTGGGGTTTCTTAACAAATTATAATAAAAATGTTCTCCAAATTTTGCTGAAAGGTAATTAAAAGCTCTGTGTATATTTTTAGCGCATAATTTCAAAAATACCCAATTTTGAGTTGTGCCTCTCTTGAAGATAATGTTTTTCAAGGTACTAAACCTTGCTATATAATTTAAAGAATTATATATACTTAGCTTTGTACATACATACGTACAGTGCGATTGTTTAAAAAACCTTTCAAATTTTCTAGGGGATGGAGATTTTCATAGCTCAAATTTTCATATTCTAATGGGGCATTGAACTGTTTGTTATCCAATCGAGGAGGATCGAATAAGAACAAAACTCTGGAGAACGTTCCTCTAGAGAACAAACCGAAAACAAAGATTCTGAGAATTTAACATTAAGAAAGAGAGGCGGGTCAGAGGAAATCTAAATCATATCTACTTCCATTTCGTTCATCATGAAGGTTAACTGTCCATTTATGGGCCCATTTTTCACTTTCTGTGCAAGAAAAGTTAGTGTCTTAACACTTTCGTTAACTTAATTTAGTTTAGTATAGTTTAGAGAAAATGTGTTCCCGTTTCGTTCTCTGTCAGAAAGTTCCTGCGACTTTAGTTCCCAAACTGTCGAGAGAAAGTTCCTTAGACTTTGTTCCCGTTTTGTTCTTTTAGAACGTTTCCGAAAGCTTTGTCCGCAATTTGTTCTCCTTGGGAACGTTCCACATGGTTTTCCTCTCATATAATTCCCATTGACAAGGTTCTCGACAGTTTTGTTGTCATTTTGGTTTTCTTTGGAACAAAACTTCGAGAACGACATTTAGTTTCTATCACACCTTTTGTTCTCGGTACCTGGTTTAAACACAAGTTTTAATCCAAAAAAATATCTTTGAAGGACAGTGACCTCTTCGTCCTATTAACCGTATAGATACATATTTACTGCATATATAATATAACAAAAATAGCTATATTCTTCATCTTGGTCTTCATCATTATTTTCAAAATAATAATCATCTCTATAATCATCATGATCTTCATCTTCAACTTAATATTAATCTTAAATCTTACCTTAATCTTAATCGTAATATTTTTCTTAATCTTAATCTTTAGTCCTAATCTTAATCTCAATCTTAATCTCGATCTTTATCTTAATTTTAATTCAAATATTCATCTTCATCTTCATCTTCATCTTCATCTTCATCTTCATCTTCATCTTCATCTTCATCTTCATCTTCATATTCATCTTCATCTTCATATTCATCTTCATCTTCATCTTCATCTTCATCTTCAACTTCAACTTCAACTTCAACTTCATTTTCATCTTAATCATCTAGTAAGCTAGTAAAGTTTTGTGAGCTATGCATTAGACTTTTCTTAAAGCCCTATTATATTAATTTGCGCTTTTTAAGAACTCTGGCTTTTTGCACTCGCTGCCTGTGCAGGAGTGAGGTCATCACTTCCAAACTCCTTATTGTACTCAGTGAGGGAAGGTATTTATGTACATACGTTTCCCATTCAGTGGTCACCAAAATGTCTGCATTTCTCCTTGCTTTCGCGTCGAAAGCAAACGAAGCAGTTTTCTATGTTGCCAATTTGTTGCGGAACCACTAAACAGCCGCCCACAATTACAGAGGATTAGCCACTAAGAGTTTCCTAAGCTTTGTCATAGATATACTCAAAAACCTGCTGATAATCAGTTAACTAGTCGCACACTCATACAATTAAACTACTTATACAAATAAGCTAAGTAGTTAATAAGGGCGTTCAAATCTCATCGGGTATTGAATAGAATGAGCGCAATGTGTTTAGGCAAACCTAAGAGGGTCGGCAAGTGGCTACAATGCGCCAGCAGATAACAATTTCAAGTAAAAACATTTGCCTATTCTCGAGTTCGCATTGAGTGTGCAAGACCATGTAAATATGTTTATATGTATGTATATTGATTAGGATGTTGGATTATTCGGATTGTTCAAAACCGAGTTTCGGGTTATATGATCAAAGTTTTTTCTATATCAAAAGTAAAACATACGAATCAGGTTTGTTTTTATTTTTTTAATAACTTAGAGCGTGTGTGAATCGGCAACAAAGTTCGCGGCGAGTAAATTTTTGACAACTATGAGGTGAATAAAGTTTCAGTAGCTCATGAGACTAGTGAAATTTTTGACAAATGCATAGAAAATTTTGACAATCGCAAAGATTGTTGATGTGTGTAATTTTTCGTTAAATAAAAGCTTAAATTGATGAATTGCAATCAAAGATGGTAGATGTTTTGTAATATTTTATTCCGCATAAATCTGCGGT